GTATATGCAAACCAACGCGACGGTCTTCTTGTTGCCGCCGTTGAGCGGTGGAGCGGCAATCCGAGACCGAATGAAAAAAAGCACAAAGATGTTCCTTCTTGCGGCCTATCGTATCGTATCACCTTCGTTTTGAATGCGAGAGCAGGGGTGCAACAGCAGATAGCACTCACATGCTCCTGTGCCGACCCCTCCCCTCCTACCACCAAAACACCACCAACCAACAACTTTGCGACCACCGCAGGTGAACAACGCGCCGGTGAGCTGGTGCAAGGTGGAGGTCGCCGCTCAGTCCCCCAAGTCCATCACCCGCCTACTGGCGGAAGAGGTGGCCGCCCCAGCAGCGGCAGCGGCAACGTCCGGGGATGCGGCATCCCCTTCTTCCGCCTCCAAGCCCACGGCCAACACCAGCGCGGGGAAGCTTCCCCCTCCGCCCCCCGTGGTGACCATGTCCCTGTCCATGAAGACGGTCGTCAGCCCCCGCACGCACACGCACGAGGTGGTGGCGCTGTCGGCGCTGGTGCACCGGGAGGTGCGGCTGGACGGCGCCTCGGACGAGAGCGGGAAGAAGGTGCGGCGTGATTGAGACCGGTTCGTGGGTCTTTTGACCCGTTTTGCTAAAATTTCACAACGAATGCATCTATATCCATAGGAAAGAGTACGGGATAGACTAGCAATGGATTCATAGCGAAATGTTTGTGTGGGCCGCCTCCTTGGTTGGTGACTGGCTGGCTGGCTGCGTGCTTCTTTGTTTATGCGTGAGGTTGGCGTTTTTTGTCGTGAGGGCGGGGGAGGTGGGGGGCGGGGAATTTTGAAAAGCTTTGTGGGTGTTGAGCAGACGGTTCGTGTTTGGGTCGGGGGGGGCGGAGGGGAGCTGTTAACGCTGAACGATCAAGATCAAATTATTTTTTGAGGCGATGGTCGAATGACAGAGGTAAGAAACGCTAAGATATACTTAGTAGGAGCTTTTTGTCACCCCACCCACCTTTCCCCTCTACCGTCGTTGCGCGGCCGCTTCTCCTACTTTCTTTGTTTCTTTTTTTGTCTTTTCCTGTGTACCAGATGGGCGCTTGGCTTGGCATCCGCCCTCTCGGACAGTCGGCCGGCGAGGAGTACCCCAAGGTCTTCCCGCACGACATCAAACACCAGGTATCTGTTGTAACATGCACATGCATCGTCTCATCGAGTTCGGAATGCCACAGTCGGCGGAGGGAGAGCCTCCCTCCTCCTCCTCCTCCTCCTCCTCCTCGAGGCTATCCAAACTACAGTAGTACCGTGAATGAGCGCTTTCGGAACCCGCAAGGGTTTTTCGTGTTGAGGTTTGCTGCGTGGCTGGCTAAGGGTAGCGGCCCTTCTTCTGCCTCTAGACTTGATTTTGGTCTTGGGTCAGGTATACTGCTGTAGTTGTCGAGGGAGGTTCCAGGTCACACCCTGTTGCCTGCTTTCGAGGGGAGATAACCACACTGACAACTGCCGTAGCCGCCAGCAGATGGGACACCTGAGCATAACCCACGTGTGCACCTGCGAACGACCGCGCAGGTCAAGGCGGCCGAGGCCAACGCGAGGCGGGCCGGGCGTGGCTCCGGCGTGCCCATCCAGACCATGCCCAACGAGCGGGCGCTGCTGTCCCTCTTCTTCCAGAAGCTGCAGCAGGAGGACCCCGACGTGCTGGTGGCCCACAACCTCATGGGCTTCGACTTCGACATCCTGCTTAGCCGCGCGGTGCACCTCAAGCTGGCCACCTGGTCCAAGGTGAGGCAGTCGGGTGTTTCATTCTTACCCGACTTTTAATGACGAAATAATGCGATCAACCTGCTACGTACGCCCGCACGTGGCTTCTGGTGTACACCAACGACGTCCATTCCAAAGACTGAAAAACGATTCCTTACGAGACGCCTCTGTTCTTTTTTTTTTATCATCGTTCACCTCTCGGTGGTCCCGGACTTCTCAAGATCGGTCGCCTGAGGCGCAACACGCCGCCCAGGGTCTACTCCTCCTCCCACGGCATGAAGGGCGCCGGGGGCAGCTACAACGCCAACGTGGCGGCAGGGAGGTTGCTCTGCGACACGTACTTGAGCGCCAAGGAGTTCCTCAGGGAGACCACCTACAGGTGTGCATACATAGAATCAGAATATTCGCACCCCGTTCTGTCTTTTACCTGTTTGGTTGCTCGCATGGCTTGGTCGTTGGTTCGTTGGTTTTGTGGGATGGCCCTTGTCGATAGTTGGTCGGTTTATTGGGCTGGCACCGAGGAGTGGTGTTTGTCTTATTATACATAGGGTGGTGGTTTTGGTGCCATCTTGCTTGTTAGCTTGCGGTAGAGTTTACGGCAGTGTGGGGTGTTTTTATTTTTGCCAAGCCCCCCAACCCCCCCCCCCCGCCAATCCAAACGGTCCGACGGATTTATTTACCGGATGACTTTCGCGGCACCCACATCGGTGAATGATGCTAATCGTTCT